ACAATTCTGGGTTTGCGCTTATGTGGCTCGTCAACAGTAAGGCCGGAGGTTTTTAATTGGGCCACCTGTTTCAGCTTTTCTAGATCGTCTTTGGTGTCAGTGCTTATAATAACACCGCCGTTCTTAGTTTTGCGTAACCCTCTTACGTGCAGTTTCATTTCTTCAGGTCGGATAATTTTTTGAACCAGATTTTTTGTTTCATCACTCGATTTCAATTTGTCAGTAGGATAAATTGCTACAGAGCTTATCTTACTAGGCTGAACAAAATTATTGGAGCTTTTTTTTACCATGTCTGCAAAAGAAACTGTACTTGAGAGAGGGTTTGTTGATTCTTCAATACGCTGCTTTAGGTCTTGAAGTCGCTGCGACAGGTCTTGATTTTCTTTAAGGGCTTTAAGGGATGAGTATGCTTGAACGGCTTTTTGTTTTAGGGACTGGTACTGTACTGCCAATTGAGACGTCCCATTTGCCACTTTTCGGCACAAAGTGCTAATTCTTAGCTTTTGTAAAGTAAATAGCTTTTAATAAAATTGTACGTAAAACAAAATGTAACGGAAAAAACAATAGGGTTAATAGCACGTCAAGCTTGAAATTAAGAGTTAATTTCAACTCTAATATGTTTGTTGTTAAGAACGGTCCAAAACGTCAAATTTGATGTTTTAATGAAAATTTACTAAAACGAACTTGAACTTGAACTAGTTAGCACATCCTCTCCACCGCTATCCAGTGCTGGTGAGCACGTTTTCGTTGAAGTTCTCTTATGTCATACTAAACTATTACTTGGTGTCTATTATTGTTCCTCTCTTCGTATTAACTTTTTGCTTCTTTTGTAAAATTTGTAGAGGAGTTCTTACCTTTCTATGAACATAGCATAATTATGGGTGACTTTAATACTTGCCTTCCCAAGCAAAATAGTCGTTCTTCTTGTTTTGAATCTCTTATAATGGCTAACAATACGACCATTCTTTCACTTGATGTTACACATAATTTTCCCAACTCAACTCCTTCACTTCTCGACTTAATAAAAGTGTCATCTTTGAACTTCGTTGGCAAACATGGTCAGTGCGCTGCGGATGCTTTTTCTTATCATGATTTTATTTATCCTTCCTACAAAATCCGCCTACCCAAAGCTAAACCCAAAATTAAAAACAGAATTGATTTGGACTGCTTGCGGAGTAATGCTTGTGAAATTGCCTGGGGTAACGTTGTAAATACTGTATCAATCGATAGTAAAATGTCTGAGTTTACGAGCAGAATATTAGGACTGCCATGAATAAAAAGCTCACAGCTAAGGCCAGATTTAAGTATAGTCCTACAGACGATATTTAACTGAAGAACAGCTCAACGAGCTCGAACGTCTACAATACTTTTGCATCCGTTTCATTTATGGTCTGAGGAAATTTGATCACGTTTCCATTTAACGCAAGGAGCTGCAGTGGATACCCATTAGACTTCGCCGGAATGCACGTATTCTTAATCGCCTTTATGGCATCTTATTCATTCCTCACACACCACCTTATCTTAACGAACGATTTGAATTCACCCATCAATCCAACCCCCGACTTCTGCGCTCGTCTTCAACTCTTCAACTTAAGATGCCATTACGTGCCTCCCAGTATTACGACAAGTCCTTTACTGTTCAGGCTATTCGTTTGTGGAACGCTTTACCTTTGTTTATTCAACAAACGAAATCATTGAATATATTAAATATATGGTAAAATGGCTACCTCACTGTAGTGTGACTTGAACTACTTAGGTATTTTTATGTTTTGAAATTATGTTTTAGATATTTTATATTTATAGATGTAAGATTATAGAGTAATTTACGATATTCATACATATGTATTGGTTTTAATATTGATAAATATACGTATATTTGCATTTAGTAATTTCTTCTTTAGTAAATTCTTTAAACACCGCCGTTTTTTTTCCTGTGAATTATATAATTACTTCCATCCAAAGGTTGTCTGGCAGATATCGCTTAAAGCGATAAGACCGCACATTGCACCACCGCTTATTATTAATTAAATTGTATTGTATTTGTTTCCTTTTTTGGTGTACAATAAATAATTTTTGTATTGTATTGTATTGTGTTGAACAAATGTTAACGATCTACAAGATATCCCTTTTTTTATTTCAAATTCGTAATGCTTTACTTGGTTTATTTAGTTTTCAATTCCTTAACCAAGTAGGAACTAAGTAAATAGCAAGATATAGTTTTATGAAAAGTCTGTACATCTACGGATTTTTCTAGAAAAAACCTACTGAATTCTACGGATTTTTCCTCTTGAAATCTCTTGTAGATAAAGTATCAACTGTCAATTTATAATTGAATATTTCCAATTTTCTATTCCAAACTGGTATCTGTTTTTAAATTTACATGACATTTTTACATTGCCGCAAATCAATAAAAACCATGTGAAAATTAGTAGAAAATATTTGAATAATGGACATAAATATATGGAAAACTTTTGGATGAAGACTGGACCGTAATACCTTAGCGTGAAAAAAATGCAAAACAGTATAGATAGAAGAAACGGGTATGCAGGTACGCAGGTATGTCTTTCGATCTTTAAAAACTAAAGTGGACGCAGCTGGGAATTCAAATTTTATTAAATACGCGCAGAGCGCGCGCTCTCATTTTAAAAACAAGTGACGCGCGCTCAGGCTGAGTACCAAGCTACGTCCAGCCACTTTAACGAGATCCTTCAATTTTTGATAAGAACACCTTAGGGATCATGTTTTGGTGGTTAGGAGGGGGTTTACAGGGGGTTTATAGGGGGTTTGGCACCCTTGGGATGCGTTACTTAAGGCACGTGCGGGGTGAGTTAACCTGCGCACAAGTTCGTGAATCAATCAACGGGGAAGGTCTGCCGGGCACTCGCTAGTTGCCGTCTTATGCGCATGCCTAAAGTGTAAAGGGACGTGACCGTCAATGTTTTCCTGGGAACATGTCGACGAATTTTCAGTTATATCGATAAACAAGTGATGTATTGTGATTGATAGAACGAAGTGAAAATGAAATGATGATATCCGTTGTGTGTATCAGATGACTTATTTTTAGATTAGATTAATTATCGTAGATTACTGTTGTCGAGCTATGTCGAGTGTGTGCGTAATTATCATTATTATAGTTTAATATTATATACTATTTTGCTTTTTACAAAATAGACACAACATTTTACAATTTTATACCACTATGGTACCTATACATTTGTTAAAAATTCCATTTTTATTCTATCATTCTATTTTTTAATAGCCATAAATTGTACTTTTCGGAAAACATAGATGTGTACTTTGCTGGGCGCAATGAGAAGGCGGTTCATGCGATGGGTGGTATAATTATTACTATCATAAATAATTATCATGATGATGAATTATTCCGTACTTTCTAGTCGATCGAAGGTAGAACAGGGAAGGTAAAACTAAATTGAAACGGTCTTGGCATTGACCTTCCATCAAATGTTAGTCGGGTTCGCGCTTTAAAGTGTCCGAACCAAAAGACAAACAAATCGCAACAAGAGGAACAATCATCACAAGAAATAAAACGAAAAAACAAGATGGTCTATTATATTTTCAGTAAATAGTACTTTTTGCATGCTCTCCGAAATGTATTCGGTAGAAAATTGATAACTTAGCAACTTTTCTGCGGTGGTAGACATTTAATAGCTTCGACTCCACAAGAAAACTAATAAGCTTCCCGAGTTGTTACTATTCCATCAAGTCCTAATCAAGCTACTAGTATCGAGTAGAGCGCTTCCAACAGTAACAGCAGTACTCAATACTGTACCAAACTTGGGCTTTATATAGATTTACATGTTGTTCAGGTGTGAAGATGGTTAATTATCAGCACGGTTACATCTTAGAAAGTCGGTGTGAAGTGTAGGGCGTCCCATTTATAACAACCCTGTTCACGTCATCCAAATCAGAAGCCGCTTTTAGGTTTATCCGTGTGACTATCGCCTCTCGTTTACGCCGATGGTTGGCACGGGCATCTGATACAAAACTCTCCACCATTGATGTCACCTGCATATCCAAAGATATCGGGTATCAGTGACAGGTCATTGATTTGCAACAAGAATACAGTGGTGGTGACGATAGATCTATGAGCAGAAGTCAAGAGGAATTCCGTAAGCTGGAAGCTTGTTTAAAAGGCTATCACACCAGACTATAGACTGTAAAAAGTCTTTAAAACGTCGTGAGACACGGCAAGGGAATCAACGCATTCCTCCTCGGCCTCGTACCATAAATCTGTGGCATAAGCAAGAACCCTCTGTAGATTGACTACAGCAAATACCAAAACGGCTATTCATACATGCTTCAGTCTTACAGAGTATGGAGGTGGTGGCGATAGGCCGATAACTAGATAGATCGGAACGACTACCGTTCTTAGGAATAAGCTGTACATTCGCAAGCTTTGTAGTTTTCAGGAATTATTCAGAACTCAAAAAGAAACGATAAAAGTTGTTAAAATATTTTTATTTATTACAGTATGTGAGAAGTATTAAAAATTAAATATTATTATCATTAAAAAACTGACACGAATTGATGGAAAATTTAAAAACAGAATTTAATTTCTTTAAAAAAAATTATATTAACAGGCCTTTTTGTAAACCAGGAGTTAGAAATAATATTAGTTGTCTCTGAAATTATGCACTTAATCGTGCCATACATACTATTTACATAATTGTTGTGCTAAAAAATAAGAAAAAATTCCCTCATTAATCATTTCATTTTCAGCGTGTTCACATTATTAAGTTGAAACTGTAAACACTTTACTTTACAATACCCTGTCGTCCAAAGTATTGCAGTGCGCATGTATTTGTAGAATAGGTATGTTATTTTGTAAACCGGTATTTCATAAACTCACCTCAAACCTTCCGTATTGTCTTAAACTAATTTATCAAAAGAATAAGTTCGTACCTATCAGTCTTATCGACATGACCACGCGTCTATTACGCGAGGGATGTGACGTTTCAGGAGACCTCCGCCCGCCGCCCGCTGGCGCGTCGCGTCGCTTCGCGCGAATCCCGCGAAAATTCGTTTAACTTGACAGTAACAGCGCGCAACCGGTGTGTGCGGTCGTCCCGAATGCCTCCTGTGCGAGCCCGCGTCCCAGCTAACGAGCCAGGTACGTTACTAAAACTTAATATTTTATAAATTAATATTTCCTTTTTCTAATAATTTTAATTACCTTTATGAATGTATTTTTATGTATACTCGCGAATGTTGCTTTATTTTTCCTACGACAATTTGGCGGTGTTTCTAAGATACAACTGGTTTTCATGATTCATTTCACAATTATAATTATGAACTTTACGCTTGCGTGGATCTTCTAAGTCTTTGTTGCTAGAAAAAAATAATACATTGTTTGCTAGTTTGGTCTGTTCATTTTATTTAAATCCGAAATTGTACTTAATGTAAAATGAACTCTATATTTTAATGCCTCAACGATAAAATTCTTCATTTTGCATTTGGGTGATAATTATTCAAGCAAAGTTTTGAATTTCCCGAGCGCTAGAAGTTTGTGGATACATGTTAAACGAATAGTGGTGACCTTTTCGTATACTTATAAATTCTTTTTGATTTATAAAATAAAAATACGTATGAAATGAAACTATTTTTTCGGATCTAAATCGAGCAAAGGTATTTGCTTCTTCAATCAAACCAACGTTTCATTTGTTATGTGTAACAAACGCTAAAACCTAAGAACAAACAATACTCGTAAACATAAAATAGATCGGTAGAAAAATATCCTTCCGAATAAAGATAAGAAATCGTATCAAGTGTAATAACCATATCACGATACTTATTTACAAACGTCATTAATATTAGCATGTTATGTAGTCACAGTTAAGACGCGTATTTTGAACTTGATAACCTTGCAACAACATGTGACTAGATCATGTCAACTCTAACGCCTGGTACAAAGCATCCAATTTATCGGTATTGCCGTTATATTACTGACACCACTTATCAATAACTATCATATCTAGCAGCACTTCATTGTCGGTTGCATCTGTACTTCATAGTAGATGGCACGGATGATTGGGTTTATCTGGACATATTATACCTATAGTTTCCAATAATAGCATTATTGAGAAACATTTTTATATACCTACGGCATTACAGTGCCTGTAATTTCACCAGAGTCCTTACCTTTCAAAACCGAAACACAGTAATGCATAGACATAAGTTGACAAGTTCCATGTGCCTGTAATTTCACCAGCACCCTTGCCGTGCAGTAATGTGAACATTACTGCTTGGCGGCAGAAATAGGTAAGGTGGCAGTACTTCCCTGGACGAACTCTTTCACAGGGAGCTCTAATGCTACTAGATGATTTACATTGATACAGTGATTATGTGCCAGGTCCAATTATTCGTGTTTTCTTTCTAACGGTGTGCATACGTTCAATTCACGCGAATAATAAATTCGATAACAATTTCGTTACAACAATTTGTTTTTTTAAGAATATTACACAAATATCCTTGCTGTTTAATGTTGGTCGGATGTTCGAGTCTCACCTTCATTCCAATTCCGCGTCGTTTTCGAAAATATTACGGTAAGTGTTAGCGTCAGCGAGTGGACCGATGTGTATATTGCTGTCCATGTAATGGGACGGGGAATACGACTGCGGGAAGACAATGGCATGAAAAATAGGCAGCCGCTTTATTCCGTGCACGCTGACGTACCGGAGCTGAACTGGCATAAAAAAAGTGTTGAACACGATGCGCTAAATGTCCATGGCAGTGGCTCTATTCACTATATCAATGCAAATTAACAACCAAATATCAACTAGAAGCTTTTGACTCCGTTGATAGCAGCAGAGCTAGCAGACTTATTGCGACGATAAGCTTGAATATAAATTTCATAGTTTAGCCCTCTGGCGGTGCAGTGTTGCCTGTTTGTCTGTTTGGCAGAATATCTTTTTTTTTACTTGGTTGATATTCCCTTCAGTCTTATTAGGCGCTTTTCGTCATCTTTTAATATGAACACAACCCAGGAATATAATTCCCAGCCGTCGACTGTTTCCGAGCACATATACCCGAATTTTATTGTTATATCTTATTTTATTACCAAAATTGAACAGTGCATCTTCTGGGCGAGCTCGTTTCTAGAGCCTATCTCTGCTCCAGGAACAAGTTTTTGTAAATACGTATAAATTATAATAATAACTACATTTGAATTGAATGCGAGTTGAGTAGTTTGCAACCAGTTCTACTAAATGCTCTGTCTGTTGACCAAACAACTGAATTGTTTATCAACAACGTAACGTCTCTCAATGGACGTGTTTAAACTTTTCACAATGACAAACACATTCGCACCCTCACATGTACATTTTGCCGAAAGGATAAACTTGCGGCTGTACAAAGTGCACAGTATGGGTCGTCAATTCTCAAAACAGGCAGAAAAATTAGATTATAGAAAAAATGAATTATTCGATTTTCAATTATTAAAACTAAAATATACAAGGAAATAAGTTTTAAGCGTTTGTCTGTGATTGTTAACGCAATGACGCGTTTTTAAGATCATTGGGAAAACGGTATAAACTATATGTCTTACCATGAAGATACTTTCAAAGAGCATATCTAGATATACATAGAATCTGCCTTTTGTTTCATATCTATATTATGTTAAATGGGTAAGATACATGGTGTTAATTTATATGAAAAATATATTCCTTTATAGATGTCGACCTAAAACTTCTAAAACTATCCTTCAATAACTAAGCCGTACTGTTTATCTTTGCGAACCTAGTTCTTAAACATATGTAGATGCTCAAATTTATAAGGGAAGAATCGGATTCCTTGAATTTTATCATATTCCATCCCATTCCATTAATAATCCATCATCCAAAAGTTTTTTTATTAGCAAACAATATCTAAAATACACATTCTTAGTTAAATTTTTTTTTAATTTTTTTTTTTAGTTACTTATGTAATTAGTTCTCTAACATCCTTCAAAATTAAGACGTATTAATTATTCTTGGAAAATTAGAGAAGTTTTATCCATGTATTTGGTTTCTTACAAAATCCTTGCATGTTTTCGCGAATAAGTCACGAACTCGTAAGTAGAACGTGGGTTGAGTGATGTATAAATAAGTACAGGTCGTAATTAGGTTGGTAGTCTAAAAACAAGTACATGATGTGGTAACGCCAATATAGAAAACAATCCTTACGAATTAGGTATCATCTTCATTTTCCCGTATCATTAATACCGCTGTAGCACACTGCACAACGTTGCTTCAGACGTAGAGAAATCCAATAACGGAAAATTACGGATCTGAATTGCATATATTTGAGTAATTGCAAACAAATCAACGTTTCGGATTCCTTACAAGATCCAGGCCAGCCAGCCGTGACCATGAGTTGTTTGAAAACACAAATATATACGCGGTTTGGATTAGAAAACTAGTTTCATTTCCAATATGTAGCAATCGTTATCCGCCGCGCGGAAGCTGCGCGGACGCCGCGCGGAAGCTGCGCGGACGCCGCGTAGACCATAGACAAGCCAACCTCGCCCCAGCAGCTGGTACGCTCATTTAAGTGTTTTCTTTATTTATTTATATTTTATGTTGTGTAATGTAATAGTAATCTTTCGCGTCGTGTAACTGGGCGCTGAGATTTGAATATAAAATAATATACTTCTAGATACTGGAATAATAATTATATTGCCATCCTAGCAAAACTCCAAATTTGCCTAATGGGGATATGTACATATATATATATATATATATATATATATATATATATATAAAGTTGAAATAACGTCACTTTCATAATTATTATGTATAAATAAGACTAAATTAAGTAAGGGAAGTAAGAACAACTTTGACAAAGTTAATTAAATCTTATCGAGAAACAATTAGAGGCTAACAAAAGACTACAAAGTTTTATTGGTAGGCCTTTCTATACATCGTAAAATATTAATCAATAAATAACATTTGAATTTTCATTGACCGAGACTACGGTCACTTCGTGCAAACGAAGTGGGATTCTATTTTACATACCAACTAATCAAACTTGATGAAATTAAGTTGATACGATCTAGAAGCCACAGTGACTCGCATTAATTAATAATAAATAATAATAATCAGGAAATCCCCAAGAGCCCTACTTTATGCAAAATTTTAAAAGAAAAAAAAAAGATTTTGTTTGAATTTTTGATATTATTACCCCAATAAAAGTATTGACAAGTATGTGATACTATGCAATCTGGGCTATTTGCCACTTTTAGGACAACATAGTAAGGTATACTTTTTATGAAAGTGTGCGTGAGCAGTTGCTGCTCAATGTAGTTTACAGTTTTTTATTCATAAAAATTTGTATTCTTTTTGACATTTTGGTTTTGTTCTTTAGTTGTCATGTAAACATCCTGAATAAAATATATTCCTTACGATCCTAAAGGATTTTCGATTCCTTCCCTTTTCTCTCTCTGTTTAAAACCCACTATGCAAGCGTCTCGACAGAAGATGTTAAAAGTTGTAAATCAAAAGACATAAAGCAAAGAAACCCTAAGGGCGCATTTATTCTACACGAATTCCATCGCGCGGCCGCCGCGTAGCGACCGCGTGCGTCTGATTGTCATGGCAAAATACGCTCTATTCATTTAGCTTTTACGTTTTAGCTTAAATGAGCGTCCCGGGCCCGCGGGCGAGACTGGCTTGTCTTTGGTCTACGCGGCGACTTCCCGGGCACTCGGTTGTATTATCCACAGGAATTTAAATGTTTAAATGTCAGATTCGCCATTAATGTACGTGAAAACGTGGTAACTGGGCGGTTCGCACGCAACGGACTCAACTTATTTGATCAACCCATGGAAACGTTACCGCCAACTATTAAATAAAGCTGTAGATGTTTCATTTTCACCAAACAAGGTCACCTTCTCGCCGTTAAAACACTTCTTTCATGGAAGAATATCAAGTTATTTCAACTGAAGAAACATCCATTGACTTTATTTTATTTGTTGGAGGAAAATGTCTTTATTGGGTTTGGCACTGTAAGGACAAGCTATAAATTTATTTTCAATCTCTCCCCATTGCCTTCCATTTTGTTTTTAGCTCCGTTTTAACTTTCTTAACCAAGACCGGGAAAATGTAGAAGCTGCTTCTAAAATGGTAAACAGTTTTT